AAAATAAACTTAATTAAAAATATATATGTAACCTTGGGAAGCATTTACAGATATTTATAACTTAAGACAAATAGGTGACTTTTCTCCAAAAGAGATGAACAATGTGCCGAGATAACTAGATACTGGAATGAAGAAGACTAGATGACAGGATTGGTGAGAGTGGGTAAATCTGCCTTCTTCGAGATTTAATCTTGGGCTTATTCTAACCAGGTTTTGCTAGATGCAGGCCACAAGTCTCCAGTGAATTGGACAGAGGATCTGTTTATTCAGTTCATTACCACTCTAAATGAGCAGAAAACTTGAATGAAGAGTGGCTTCTTTGGTTCAAATCCATAACAGGGACTAGAAGCAGTTGATTCCCTTGGGCAAATTTGTTGTTGTTGTTGTTGTTGTTGTTGTCAAGTGCCATCGAGTCGGAACCGACTCATAGCGACCCCATGCAAATTTAGCCTCATGGAAAGCATGGAGGCCAGACCTTCCTTTGGAAAGCAAACTAAAGATGATGATTTCTGGCATTGCCTGCCTCCAGTTAGATGCCATTGTTGTTAAATGCCATGGAGTTGGTTTTGACTCATAACAACCCTGTACGGGGTTTCCTAGAAGTGGCTATGAGCCTGAACTGCCAACTTCGTAGTCCAGCGCATTAATCCAAAGTGCCGCACGAGAGACCAGTAAACCATGGCCACCTGGGAGCCCGCTGTACAAAGCTGCTTTCTGTATTTTGAGAGAGGTGAAGATCTCAGCTAGTAAGTGTCTTCAGCTCATCTTCCTCACAACCTGAGGATACCTCTTCATCTCTTCTTTTGCCCATTCCCTGCTTTGTGTCACACACGGGATCTTGGGACCAACAGCCATGTTTGCAGGTGAGCTTCTACCCCTCGTAAGTCACTTAATCTTCTAGGTCTCTATCCAGCTTTTGACACATATTTAGACAGTTTTCACAAAGAATATCAATCTGATGAAATAATGAACAAGTATAGCCAGAATGCTTCTTAGGAGGGAGAAAGGGAAGACTTTAGACACATCATCAAAAAAGACTTTATATTTGCTAAAGTGGAAGGTCAGAAAATATGAGGGACCCTCACTGAAATAGACTGATTGATACAATAGCTGCAACAATGAACTCAAATAGACCAACAAATAATGACGACGGCACAGGTTCCAGCAGTATTTTGTTCTGTTATATTGGGACAGATTGCCCAATAGGTGTAAGAATGGACGTTCTTGTGTTTCCATACTCTTCTGTAGTGAATTGCTTCACCCCATCTGTGATGAGAAACATGTGAAACTGTCCACTGCTAAATACAAGTAAGCCTGTGCGGATTATGCTGACTGGATACTCCACCCGTGTCAGGGATTGCAAATTAGACAAGAAACTTTGATTTTGTAGGAAGGTGCTATGGGATGGGAGCAGCCATATCTAGAAGAATAGATAGAGTAGGAAATTTTGAAGTTGTTCATTACAGATTAGCAAATCAGTAGACAAGTAAATCTGTATCCACCTTGCTTATTGGATAATCCAAACACTGTTGTATATAAGGCCAGTGTGAGTTAGTGCCCACTTGATGGCAGCTTATACCCACGAGGTAATTACTACTGGTAGGCACCGTTGAGATCAAGTCTCGCCTTCTGGAGGCAAAAACCACAAATAAGAGGAGTAGACCGTTAGGATAATGCTTCTTTGGCTTGTAGTTGCTTTCATTAACACAACCCATCAAATAGTTAGTGTTCTCAACTAGAGTCTCTTCGATTTCTTTTGTACCTTCTGAGCCCAAAGTTGGGGGCTGAGAATATTCCAACAGATGCTTCTTGGTGGTGGTTTGTGTTTTTTGTTTTAATTTTCTTCTAGGGTGTCAATAGTGGGTTGAGAGTTGCCCAAAGTGCCTCCAGGCCAGCCTTCCCTGAGGAGTCCTTGACTTCTGCTTTGTGGCCACGGAAGAAAGACACTTCATTAGCTACAGACCTCTGTTCTCCCCAAGTACCTGGACTCTGTCTCAGAGTAGAAATGGAATCAAACTGCAGGGTCGCACAGAGCCTTTCCCTGCTGTCTTGTTGTAGTTATTTTGACGCTTCATCATAGGCCTTGCTGATTCTTCCCATCTCTGAGGTTCTCTTCAGGGAAAGCTTAGTGTTGTTGTTGTTAGCATGTCTCATAGGAAATATGGGCATTGAAGTAAATTTGAAGTTAAGTGTAATTGCTATTAGAATTGGTAGTTAAAATATTACCACCCTTTATTTGTAAAACAGTTTTCAGGGCAAGTTTACAAGCCTCATTGTGTTGGATTCTGGTAACAGTCTTAGGGAAGTAGTAGGCATTTCCCACATTTTATAGATGAAGATGTAATGGCTCAAGATGTTTAATTCAAGAGACTTACTCAGGGTCAAACAGCTGTTCTTATGGGAATGTCAGACAGTGTTCTTTTTTTTTTCTATTCTCCTTGTCATTAAAGCGAACTAAGGTCAGTAATCAAAGTAGCAAGCCAGTTGTGTGGTTCGTATTAAAATCTGTTTATATTGCTGTGACAGTTTTAGAAAAGCATCCAAATTGAGTGCTTTTCAGTCCAGAGCAGACTCCTCCTTTCACGGAAGGCTCTTGTCTCCTGGACGGCAGAGATTGTTGAGATTCAGTGAGGGGAACTTGAACTTTGGAAGCTGCTCCCAAACTCCTTAAGCCCTGATACTTCCAGATTTATTTTTGAAAACTTAACATTCAGTGAACTGTTAATTTAACTTTAAACCAAAAAACAAAACACAAATCCCAACAACCCGAATCCACTGCATCAAGTTGATCCCTACTCACAGCAATCCTGTGTAGGGTTCATTCCCAAGGCTGTCAATCTTTGTGGGAACAGAAAGCCTCTTCTTTCTCCCATGGAGCTGCTGGTGAATTCGAACTGGTGACACTGCATTACAGCCCAATGCATAACCTGACTACACCACCAAGGCCTCTGATTTGGCACTGTTAGTATTGTTAACTGCTATTGAGTCAGTTCTGACTCATAGCGATCCTGCTTCCAAGGAGTCACTAGTGGGTTTGAACTGCCAACCTTGCTGATCAAACAGATCTTGTGATCCAGTGCATTATCCTGCAGTGTCACACCAGAACTCCAGTTTGGCATTAGAGACCCTGATACAATAAAATGCCATACAATCAGAGCTCTAGAAAGAACCAAATAGTAGGCAAGGCTATATGAGACAGGAGTCCTGGTGTGGCACTGTAAGATAAGCATTGGACTGCTAACTGCAAGGTCAGCAGTTCACACCCACCAGCTGCTCCTTGGAAATCCTATACAGGGTCGCTATTACTACCAACTCGAAGGCACTTAACAACAACAACAATGTGAGACAAGTCCTGTTCTAAGACCTTCACATATTTCATCTTCTCAGCAACCTCCAATTGCCTCCATTTAAAAAAATTTTTTTTTTTAATTGAGAAAACAAAAGCTTAGCAAGTTATTCGCTCAAGGTCACAGAGCTAATAAGTGGAAGAATTGGGATTTGAGGCTAATCTAATTCCAGAGGCTGAGCTCTTGACTTCCTCAATATAAAGCCTTTGGTAGATTGTCTAGGGCAAGCCTGGTGTTTTATGGATGCAGAATTCAGATCCTGAGAGTTAAGCCTATCCGAGATCACAAGCTAATTAAGTCTTCTAAGCATCTTGGGCAGGTACTAAGAAATCTTAGAGATGAGAAAATTATAGAATAAGTCACTTCTAGACCTTACCTCTAAAAGGAGCTGCCCATGAACTCATGTTCTTCAGCATATTGCCGAATCCTAAAACTGAAATAGGAGCTGACAAAGAGTTTTCTACTGTTGTTGTTAAGTGAGTTTGAACCAACCGAATGTGTGGTTCAAACTAACCTTGCGGTCCAGTGTGTTATCCTACAGTGCCACACCAGAGCACTCTATACCTCTTAAACTCCATCTCAGATCAGAGACTCATTGTTAATGTCTGTTTGTTCTCCTGAGAGCAGATGGTATTAAACATTTCAAGTCATAGAGTTGTGTATGTAGCTGGGATATCCTTAAAGTCAGTGGAGGAGGGACTATAGGAACCAACTGAGATGAGGTATAGGTACCTCGCTCTCTACCAGGAAAGAGGACAGTGATGGTTCAGTGGTAGAGTTCTTGGAAATATGTGGGAGAGATCTGTGTTCAGTTTCCTGCCAATCTCTTTATTCACAGTGACCATTCATTGCTGCAGGTTTGTGGGTTGCTATGATGCTGAACAAGTTTCAGGAGAGCTTCTAGTCTAAGAAGAACTATGAAGAAAGGCCTGATGATGCACTCGGAAAATCAGCCACTGTAAACCCTGTGGATCACAATGGTTTGATCCCTAACCGATTGTGGAGATAGCTTAAGATAGGGCAACATTTTGTTTTGTTGTGCATGGGGTCACATAAATGGGGAAACTGGGAAGCACTTGTTCTACATTTGAAATCCATAGAGACATAGGGATGCATTTTAGCATGACTCATGAAAGTGAAAAATTATATGCTACATTTTGGATGCATGTATATATGTTGTTGTTAAGTGTTGTGGAGTTGGTTTTGACTCATAGTGACCCTGCATAGGATTTTCAAGGAGTGATTGGTGGGCTTGAACTGCTGACCTTATGGTGAGCAGTCCAGTACTTATCCTACACACCAGGACCCATATATATATACATATATATAAATTATATTCCTTTTATTTATACATGTACACATTTAAAATTTGAGTTTCACAAGGATCCGTGACCTCAAAGCATTTAATAACCATAACTATGGAGACATTTCATTCAATTATTTATGTATCTTTTCTGCAAGACCAGAAAACAGACTAGAAAAGCATTTGCCTTAGGAGTTTTGGGGAATAGCATGAGCTATATAATTTTTTACTGCAATTATAAGTTTCTTTATTCAACAAATGTATTAATACAGTGCTATAACAGTTTGTTATGATTTTGTTTTACATAGATAAAATAGTGATTCAAATAAACCACATTCTTATATTAACAGACTGGAGTTTTCCAACTACCCCATGGAGACTTTTTCATTGAGCCTGTTAAACAGCATCCACTGACTGAGGGGCAGTACCACCCACACATCATTTATAAGAGGCAGAGGAGGAGAGCTCCAGAGACACAGGAGACAACTTGTGGATTAAACGGTATTGTGACGTGAACGTCCTCACGGGGTTGAGGGGTTTGTTTTGTTCTTCTGATTGTTTTATTACAACATGACCTGTTCTCCTTCAAGACTATCACCTCCTCCCTATCTTGTTACCAGAAAGTATACGCCTTGTATAAATCACTTCACGCCTCTGTCCTCAAGTTTCTTTCTGTTGTTAATGAGAAGACGGAAAGCATCTCCTGCATCCTTGTTGCATTAGATGGTGATGCTCATAATTATGAGTTGGTTTTAAAGAAAATTGTTCTGAATCCACCATGGAAAGGATTTTATAAAACAGACATAATAATGTTCAGTATTAGCAATGTTTTAGTATATTATATGGAATATAACAAGACCGCTCTTTACATCTGCATTCAGGAGGTGGAATTAAATATTGGGGGGATGCTGATAGTAATGTGCAAAGAGAAACTCCAGCAAAACGTCAATGCATTCTCAGTGGATGAATGGAGCAAAATGGTTTTTGGCTTTTGTTCACTGAGGTTTGTAGTGTGCCCTATGATCTGAACGGTGCCTCTCTACTTTGTATTAAACAATGCCAGGGAGTTTTCAGAGAAAAAATGGACCTGAGTAGTTTTTCATGTAACTCTCAGTCTCCTTAATGCATCGGATATAATAGGCTGTGCATGAGGGGCCACCAGAAATGGGGATGTTTTCTTAAATGTTGCATAGTTTCTCCTTTCTTCAGAGAAATCACAATGTTAGAGGAATAGTGAACAAAAGGAATTCATTACTTGTATTTCTTAAATATTTGGAAACCATGGACTTCAAAGGGAAAATAGATAAGCTGGTGAAGGATTTAGAGAAAGTCAATCCTGATAAAGGGTTTCAGTAGAATCAGAACTTGAGCTTTGCAAGAAGGAAAATGAATGGATATTAATTGTTTCTCATGTGGTGCACTGAATCATAGGTGGGAAGAATGGTGAAGCAGCAAATGTTTTCTTTTATGTATATATTTACCACAACAGAATCAATAGTGTAAGCAAGCAAACAAAAGATTATTCACTTCCTGTCGCAAATGGAACTTATACTTTAAGAAACATTGTAAGTGACTATATATATGGATATATGCTGTTGTTCCTTGCCTTCAAGTCAATTCTGATTCACAGCCACCCTTTGCACAATAAAATGTAACACTGTACTATCCTCACAATTGTTGCTATGCTTGAACCCACTGCTGCTGCCACTGTGTCAATCCATCTCCTTAGGGTCTTCCTGTCCTTCACTGACTCTCCATTTTACCAAACATGAGGTCCTTCTCCAGAAACTGATCCCTCCTGATAATATGCCCAAAGTATGAGAGATGAAGCCTTAGCATCCTGGCTTCCAAGGAGCATTCTGGCTGTACTTCATCCAACAGAGATTTGTTTGTTCTTTTGGCATTCCATGGTGCTTTCAACAGTCTTCTTAAATACCACAACTCAAATACATCAATTCTATGGTCTTCCTTACTCATTGTCCAACTTTCACATCCATATGAGGTTATTGAAAATACCATGGCTTGAGTCATGCACACCTTAGTCCTCAAACTGACATCTTTGCTTTCAAAAACTTTAAAAAGGCCTTGTGCACCAGACTTGCTTAATGCAATATGTTGCTTGATTTCTTAACTGCTGCTTCCGTGAGTGTTGATAATGAAGCCAAGAAAAACAAAGTATTTCACAACTTCAATCTTTTCTCTCTTTATCATGATATTATTTATTAGTCCAGTTGTAGGCTTTGTCTTTTCTTTACATTGAGGCACAATCCATATGAAGTTTGTGGTCTTTGATATTCACCAGTAAATATTTTAAGGCCTCTTTGCTTTCAGCAAGCAAGGTTGTATCAACTGCATATCGCAGGTTGCCAATGAGTCTTCCTCCCATGTTCTTCTTCTTATAATCCAACTTCTCAGATTATTTGCTCATAATACAGATTAAATAAGTATGATAAAAGAATACAACTGTGATGCACACCTTTTAAAACATTCATTGTTCCCTTGTTCTGTTCAGACAACTGTCTCTTGGCCTATAAACAGGTTCCTCATGAACAAAATTAAGTGTTCTGCAGTACTCAGTCTACACAATGTTACTTATAGTTTGTTATGATCCAATAGTCAATAAAGCAAGGATAAACATCTTTCTGCTTTCAGCCAAATTCCAGCTGATGTCAACAATGATATCCCACATTCCACGTCATCATCTGAATTCACATTGAAATTCAGACAGTTTCCTGTCACTGTAGTAGTATTGCAGCTGCTTTTCAATTCTCTTTAGAAACATTTTACTTGCTTGTGATATTAATGTTATTATTTGATAATTTCTAAGTTCCACTGGGTCAACACTCTGGAATGGGCACAAATATTATTCTCTTCCAATCAGATAGCTGTCTTCTAAATTGCTTGACATAGGTGAGTGAGTGCCTCCAGTGCTGCATCAGTTTGTGGAAAGTTTCCAGTTTGTTTTACATCAATTCCAAGACCCTTGTTCTTTGTCAATGTCTTCAGTTCGCCTTGGATTTCTTCCTTCAGCACTACTGGCTCTTAATCACATGCTACCTCTTGAAATGGTTGAACATTGACCATTTCTTTTGGGTACAGTGAACACTACGTATTCCTTCCATCTTCTTTTGATGTTTTTCAGCATCATTCAATATTTTGCCCATAGAATGCATGAATAGTGCCAAGTCAAGGCTTGAATTTTTTCTTCAGTTCTTTCATCTTATGAAGTGCTTAACATGTTCTTTCCTTTTGATTTTCTAACTCCAGGTCTTTGCACATTCCATTAAAGTTCTAGACTTTTGTCTTCTACAACTCTCTTAGAAATTTTCTGTCCAGTGCTTTTCCTCATTTCTTCCTTTTGCTTTAGTGGTGGAGTTCAAGTTTCAGAGGTTCTTCTGACATCCATTTTGGTCTTTCCCTTCTTTATTCTCTTCTTAATGACCCTTTGCTTTCTTCCTGTGTGGTGTTCTTCATGTCATCCCACAACTCTTCTGGTCTTCAGTCATTAGTGTCTAATTCATCAAATCGGTTCTTGAGATAATCTGTAAATTTAGGTGGGATATGTTTAAGGTCATATTTTGGCTCTCATGGATTTGTTTTAATTTTCTTCTGCATAATCTTAAACTTACATATGAGCAATTGTTAATCTGTTCCACAGTCTGCCTATGATCTTGTTTTAACAGTTCATATTAAACTTTTTCTACACTCTCTTCCCACAGATATAGTCAATTTGATTTCTCTTTGTTCCATGTGGTGAGGTACATGTATATAGTCATTTTTTATGTTTCTAAAAAAGGTATTTGCAGTGAACAAGTCATTGGTCTTGCAAACTTCTATCATGCGATCTTCAGCACCATATCTATTACCAAGTCCGTATGTTCTGACTACTAATCCTCACTCTTTGTTTCCTACCTTTGCATTCCAATTCACCAGTAATTATCAATACATCTTGATTGCATGTTTGATCAGCTTCAGATTGAATAAATTGATAGAATTTGTCAATTTCATCATCACTGACTAATAGTTGGTGCATAAATTTGAATAATAGTGGTACCAACTGGTCTTTTTTGTAAACATATGGATATCATCCTATTACAGACAGGATTTCGTTTAAAGACAGATCTTGAAATTTCCTTTTTGATGATGAGTATGATACCATTCTGTTTAATGGTCATTCCCAGCATAGTAAACCATTTGATTGTCAGATTCAAATGTCCTATACTAGTTCATTTCAGCTTACTAATGCCTGGGATGTTGATTTTTATGTGTTCCATTTCATTTTTGACACCTCCCAAGTTTTCAAGATTCATACTTCATATATCCCATGTTCTGTTTATTAATGGATGTTTACAGCTGTTTCTTCTCAATTTGAGTTGCGTCTCCTCAGCAAATGAAGTTCCCAAAAACTTTACTCCATTTTTTTCATCACGGTCACTTCTACTTTAAGAGGGTAGCTCTTCCTAAATTTGAGAAACTTCCAACCTGAAGGTCTCATCTTTGGCTTGTATCTGACAGTATTCTTGTGCTATTCAGAATGTTGTTATCTTCGGATATTGTATCTGACAGTATTCCACTGTTTTTCATAAGTTTTTCATCAAGGAAACTTTCATAAGTAGTCACCTCTCCTTCTTCCTAGTCAGATTCATCCACTGCTCTATTGATGACACAGTGAACTAAAAGTTACCAAACTGCACACACAAAGCTTTCTCCACCAAACAAAGCGTAGCATTAATTGGGTAAGTTTGTGATATATATGTATCATATATAATGAAAGGCTATGAAGAGACAAGGGATAGGTAATTTCTCTACAGACTTCACCCAAGTCCTAAACTATGTGGTAACGTTCCCAGTTGTTTATTTTAGCAGAGCACCTATGCAATAAGAAAGCATTTTTGTTTGTGTTTCTTGTGCACAGGCATGGACATCTGCTTTAATTCCTTAACTTTAGTAACTCTTTTGTTTTAAATTAGATAATTTACTGTCTGTCTCCTCCTACACAGTAGTAGAAGAAGGGAAGAAATATAGATAACTTAGATTCAATGTGAATCTTGAGAATTATTTTATTTGTCACCTATCCAGTTACCTGGATAAATTGCCCATTTTCTGTTACACTTTGGGTAATGGAGAAACATTGTATGTGTAATTATTATTATTTTTGTGAAGTACCATCGAATTGGTTCTGACCCATAGCGACCCTGTATAGTGTTTCCGAGGAGCAGCTGGTGAGCTTGAACTGCTGACCTTGCAGTTCAAACGGCCTTGCAGTCTGGCTCATTAACCCACAACGCCTTAAAATGAATATGGCAGAGAGAGTCACTAGGGCAGTGAGTGAATATGATGGAATAATTGTTCCAGTAATCCCGTAGACTAATTAATTGCTCTGTAAAATGTGGTAGTGTGTTGTTCTCCCACCCACCTTGAATACCTGCTCTCCCTTTTAAGTCTCTGGTAGAAGTGCAGTTGATTAAATTTGAATGAGAATAGCAAAAATGTACTTATGA